TTTTGCTAAAATATGTTTCAAAGTATTCTAATACTTAAGACTTCATGTTTAATTATTACTCATTTTCTGAATCTGTTTCCTGCACAATAGTACCAAGCAGCTAGCAGGCAAGGTAGTGTAATGGTGCCCTTGGCTGTCAAAATTAATCCTCTGCACTTTTCTTAAGAAGTAGAAGAACTGCCTCCCCCAACATCTTGGAGGTGGACTGTGGAAACCTCAAAATTGTATGACTGGGATATGATTGTTGTTGTTGTTGTTGTTATTTGCTGTCGAGTCGGACCTGACTCATAGCGACCCGTCCTTGGGTTTCCGAGGCAGTATCACTACGGAAGTAGATTGCCCCATCTTCCTTCCAAGGAGTGGCTGGTGGGTATGATTAGATGAGAAAAATCACTGGATACTCTAGTATCCACACACCTGGCTGCTACAAACCTTATTCTGGCTAATATAGGTAACTTTACCGTTGCCACCTAGCTTAGAGTAAGAAATATAATGCAATATGGATTTTGCAAAGTATACCTAAATCTGCTTCATCTTTTCCCTCTGGCCCAAGTTTAGTTATTAATTAGTGCACTATTTTTTCCATACGCTCAGAAAGTGCAATGATCTGTTGGAGATTATCTTGATGTTACTCTAGAAGCATGGTAGAAATTCTATCTATTAGGCAAATACATACATCTCCAATGTTGGCAGCAATTTAAGAGAGTTGAGCTGTGACTTCTACCTATCAGCTGTCTCCTGGGCCTATAAAAACCACTTGTGTCACATTGTGTGGACTTTGGCAAGTTTAAGTTATACTTAGAATATAACCAAAAATAAAATATTAGAATATAAAGTGTGGTTACTAGGATAAACAGACTACCTTGCCTCTGAATATACGAAACCTAATGTCCTTTGTGAAGGAGCCTGGTGGCACAGTGGTTAAGCGCTTGGCTGCAGACCAAAAGGTCATTGATTTGAACCCATCAGCTGCTCGGCTGGAGAAAGCTATGGCAGTCAGCTTCCATAAAAGATTAACAGACTTGGAAACTCTACTCTGTCTTATAGGGTCACTATGAGTCAGAATCAATTCAACAGTAATTTTTTTTAAATGTCCTTTGTAACAAAACTAAGTGCATATGATGTTGTTGTTGCTATTAGTTGCAGTGGAGTCAATTCTGACTCATGGCGAACCCATGTGTGCACAGAGAACTGCTCCACAGGGTTTTAAAGTTGTGACCTTTTGGAAACAGGTAACTAGACCTGTCTTCTGAGCCACCTCTGGAGGGTTTGGACCACCAACCAAAGCTAATGTCTTTTGGTGCTTTAGGTTCACAGATAAAGCTACTAACTCTAGTTGGGAACATATGTGTACAGGATGTCACTGCAATTTTACAGCTTAAATATCAAAGACCTGATGACAAAGTTTCTACACAGATGTGTCAAAATGATAATGGTGGAACAAAATGCTTCAAACAAACTCTATTATGAAGAAGTGAACTCCCCATATAAATAAGAGAAGATAACTGAAAAGCTATGAATAATTTCTCTAAGTACTTCTTTGTGGTTTGGCTATTGCAAATGTGTTTTGAAATACTTGCACTTTGGGCAACACTGTTTATTTATTTAGCATAATTCGGTTGTCATGGTAGAAGTAGTATGGTTGTTCACAAAGAACTTCGCATGGAGTTGGATGTTATCATGTAAATCTTGTCTTGAAAGCCATCTTCTGAACTCATTAGTGGTGAAGTAGTATATGACTGGGTCAAGACAGGAATTCAGACTAGCAAGACATAGGGCTACAGAGTGAAATATCAGAATCACTCTTCTAGCTAGGCAGCTCTTAATTTCATTGGACTTGACTAAGAAATCTAAAGGAAAACTGAAATGATAAGGTGCAAAGCAAATTAGAAATACCCCTGCACAGGTTAGAATCATCTTCAGAGCTTTCTTTTTCTCTCCAAGATCTTGGGCCACAGGATATTTCTTTTGCAGTGATAAAACTGTCTTCCAGGTACAATACAGAATGATCAGAAGAGGAGTAATAAACCCAATCAACTCTCCAACAGTCATCATGGCAACGGACTGGACCAGATTGACATCCCTCGTAGGAAGATCCACAAAGCATTTGGTTTTGTTGCCTGAGGTGTCATGATTGGTTCTGAGAAGAGGGAAGAGCAGACAGGCAAAGCAGATGATCAGCCAGCCAGCAATGCTGATGTAAAGATCATATTTCTGTTTGCAGTCATGGAAGCGAAAAGGGTACATGAGGAACCAAAATCTCCGCACACTGATGCAGACCAAGAAGTAGATGCTTGCATACATATTGACATACTTCAGGTAGAAACAGAACATGCAGAGTCCAGACCCAAATGGCCAGTCATGATTAAGGTAGTAAAATATCCTCAGTGGCAAGGAGAGAACTTGTAATAAGTCAGCAATGGCTAAGTTTATCATGAATATCACAGCCCTTTTGGTTTCTTTCATATAGCCATAAAATACCCACAAAGCTAATATGTTACCTATGAGACCCGGCACAAGAATGATAGTGTATGTTACTGCATAGATGAAGTACCGAAAATCGATATTTCCTTCATCAGGCCCTCTACATGTGTCATTAGTAGGCATGTTTCTTTCTAGAGAAACTATGTTTGCCAAACTGTGATTAAACATTTAAATTCACAGCTTACTGCTGCTCTTGCTAGAAGACTAATAATCAATGAGTTGGAGAGACTGTATAAAATAACTTTCTTTTACCAAATCTGTCTGAACCTCTGCACATGATTTGAAAGACTTCATAGAATTATCTGCATATTTGCTTTGGATATGTTTACAGTAATTATTAAGACTGGAGCCCTGGTGGTGCAGTGGTTAAGTGCTCAGCTGTTAACTGAGAGGTCAGTGAGAAGAATGAAGAATGCACCAGCCACTCCACAGGAGAAAGATATGGCAGTCTGCTTCTGTAAAGATTAAAGCCTATGGGCAGTTCTATTCAGTTCTACAAGTTCGCTATGAGTCAAAATAGACTTGATGGTAATTTTTTTTTAACTACACAGAAGTCTAGTGTGCAAGCATAGATGACAAACTATTGTAACTTTGCCTCTTGTTTACTCTATTATAAGGCCGTCTGAGACATCATGACAGTTGATCTTCTCTTATTTGGATCATGAATGTGCCATATAGCAGCTCCTATAATTTCCATATGATGATAGCCATCTTTTTCACAGTTGTTTGGCAGGCTGTTTTTTCTTTATTTGGCTAACGTAGAAGAATTGTTTGCTTCAATGCACGATGGATCCACCACTCTTCAGGGATTAACTTGGCTAGATCAGCTTTCTGCGGCTTTTTCAGTTATGTGTCGAAAGCACAAAAGTAGGAATCGAAGGCAGAGCTGGAAGTGAAAGAAAACAAGCCAATTATAATTTTATGTATTTATTTTTCAAAAAGAAAAAGCTTACACATATAGCAATATATTAGTTTGAATAGAAAATGCTGGTGTAAATGAGGATTTTGTGCTACAGTTTCTGCAAGGCACATTAGAACCACAGGGAAGTATAGTTAGAATGAGCCTGAGAGGTAATCTAACCCCTTGCTGCTCAGAGTGTGAACTGTGAACCAGAAACATTGGTATTACATGGGAGCTTGTTAGAAATGCAGAAGAAGATGCAGACCCCATCTACAACCTCCTGAATCAGAATCTGCATTTTAACAAGAATACTCTGTTTCTTATGCATATTAATATCTGAGAATATCTTATCTAGACCATTGTTTCTCAAAGTTCACTAATTGTCAGACTCTTCTCAGAAGGCTGAAAAACACAAAAACAACTCTCTGGGTATCTACTCCAGAGATTCTGACTCAGTACATTTAGGGTAGGGCCCCTGATATAATATATATATTGAAAGTTTCCCTGATGATTTGGATAAAACGAGCCCAACATTTGTCCTTGAGTCATCATTTTGGGGCCACTGATTTAACCCAAATCCTTCCCAGATGTCTGAAAAAAAGGGAACAACCAATCTCTCTTTAAATACCTCCAGTTGCATGGATCATTAGTCACCTCTCAATTTTCCAAGTTAACAGAGCATAGCACCAGTGCAGGAAATTAAAATCCTCAGTAAATTGGCTCAGCTAGGTTCATGGCCATTGTTCTGAGGTAAACAAATTTTAGCTTAGGAACTAGAAGCACTAAACTGACTTTAAAGATATGTGGGAAGAACAAATATGAAATGAGAATTATGAAACATCTTACTTTAGATCATTAAATCCATGTGAATTATCAAATCCATGTGATTTGAACTATGCTTGCTTCAGTCCCTGAAGGAATTGATATTAGTATTATTTTGCTTCAATTACCTGGTGTGGTAGTTATGTTTGTGTGTCAACTTGGCTGGGCCTGGTTGAGTGGCTGGGAAGCTGCTGGTAGTTATTCCCCATGATGATACTGGCAATCAGCTCCATGGTGGGATCTACCACTAGCAGCTGAGTAGCTGCCTTTGAGATGTGGTCTGCTTCCTGTATATAAGGAGAAGCCTTGGGAATGGTCTCTAGCCTTCGGAATGCTTGGAACTTGCATGTAGCCGTGTCACTGCTCAACAGCCTGCTATGCTCTGCCGACCTTGGGACTTGCAGTGGACTTAAGTTAATGGCCTGCTGTGTGGTTTTTTTAACATCAGAACTATGCCTTTTGACTTGCCAACCTTGAGGCTTCTCAGCCTCAGCAGCCAGCAGCTGTCTGAGTGAAGAAACACCTCTAGCTCCAGTGGGCCAGGAGCAGGAGGCAGAGCTGGACCCCAAGGTTGAGGGGCTTTCCCCCACCCCCTAGAGCCTGGTACTTTGAACTTGGACTTAA